GGGAGCGCTTTGTCCTTGTCACCTTTTTAGTTTTCGGTGTGTTGACAGCCGAGCACTCAGTTGACAACGCTGCGCTGGCAGCTCTTCTAGTTAGAGTTGCACACTGGGCGAAATTTTCATGTAAAATTAAAATATTATGGGTAAAAAAATGTTTATGGATACTGCAGAAAATTATAATCTCATTTTCTCTTAAGAAAATATTATATTTAGGAACTGAAATAAAAGCAGATTTTAAGATTATAAATAAATGATTAATTTGGAATATTAATACCTTATTTTACCTTTCTTATAATGTAAAGAATATTGGATTATGTAAGGTTTTAAATTGATTTAATGCTGATTAAAAAATATTTTCCTGCTAATATTTGCTTAGCATCATTATTAGCTAATTATCATCCTTATGTAATCCTGCTGCTGCCTTTTTTTTCCCCGTGCAACATCATCTCAGCTTCGGGGACCGGCAAGTGCATTTATCTCGATCTGGAATGCCTTTTGAATAACTTGCCATATTAGCGTGTTTCCGTTTCCTTTCAGCTCAGCAGGCAGCAGTCAGCAGCGCCCAGCTTAGTTGTGTCTGGGCGTCCTTGTGTGCGTATTTGTCAAAAGGATTTGGCAGTGATTTAGCTGCTGGCCCAAATTTCATACCAAATTCCGTGTCTCCCTTTCCCTCACTCTTTGGCCTGCAATCGCCTGACTGACAACGTCCCTGGCTCTCTCATCTCCCATCTCCCGTTTCCTGTCTTCTGGCCAAAAAGTCAGGATTAGGTCGCGCCCAGCCCTTTTAGCCGCTGCAAATTAGCTGCCTAATTGTTTGCCAAAGCCGCAACTTTGGCCATTTCTTCTTCTCGGCCATGGGAGAATCGCGGGAAAGGGAGGGCGTTGTTCTTAACATTTGCCGAATGACAGCTGAATAATGTGCGCCCCATAAGCAATTAACGCGCCTGCGGGGCTTACACACGTACGTCTTCCGAGTGTGCGAGTGTGAGTACAGTGGCGGACGAAAAAATAGTACTAACGATTTGAAAACACCTCTAAAGGTGCCTAAAAGTGTGCAATGAATATTTATTGATTTGATTCATTTGGAAAGATGAAGTTCATTTTCTTACTGCATACTTTTAGACACCTTTATAAAAATCCTAGTGTTTTCTGTATCAAAACTAATATATGAACATCGGAAATTTACATTTATATTTCACCTTTTATTTAGAAAATATATATTTATTAATTTAACCCTCATTGTAAGAGTGTGTTAGTGAATTGCTATCTGTGTGTGTTGCTCTGCCAGCTTACAAATTGAGTCAATAATTTTGCTGGGCCCTCGACAGGGCGGGAAGTTTTCCTCCTGCTCGCTCCTCCCTTTCTGGTGGCACTTTGTGCATAATAAATAAACGCCATGAAATACGCGACTTAACACGCAATGTACAGCAAAGTCGCATGTCTCCATCCTCTGTGTGTGAGTGTGCTGCGTTTGGGTGTGGGTAAGCACCATATGACACCACCTTGACTCATTAATTACGCACTGGCATTTTTATTTTCATTGCATACTTTTATGCAATTTATTATTACAGCATTGCGGGGCAGCGCTGAAAAAAAGCACACGCTGAAATACAAATTGCCTTTTTTTTACACCCATATATATATATTTAAGGACATATGCATACACTTGTGACTTATTTACAGATGGAGGCTCACACAGATACTCTGGCCAACACACACTCATGCGGAGTTGCGGCGAACACGACAAGCCGCAAATGAAATATGCGCTGGATTTTTGAGCTGCCTTCCATCTTAACTTGGCCAGAAGTTGCCTGATTGCCAATGTCCTTTGGGCATTCCTATAAATTTATTTATATGCAGTACCTTTCAGATCTTTAAGAAATTATGTGTTAAAAATTAAATCTATATATATAAAATATTTTAATATCAAAGGAAAAGAAAATTACAAAAATTCATTATAAATGGATTAAAAGTAATTCATTTCCTTAAATTTTAATTTAAGAATACTTTTTGAAAACACCTTTACAGGTGTCTTAAAGTATGCAATAATCAGTTAATTTGTAATTGCATACTTTTCTACACATTTATAAAAATTCGAATGATTTTGGCGTCAACCCGATTTATTGTCAAAAATAAGTAAAGATATTTGAGGATCGAAAATTGATTTATTCTCCTATTTTAGTTTAAGTCCTTACACGATAACTAAGATATTTCAAATACTCCATTTTAAAAGGGACTGTTTCTTTGCAATCGAAGAGGACATCTTTCCCCTTTCAAAGGTAATTGCAGAACAGTAAACTGAAAACACCCCCAACTACGTTTCTTTAATCAAAGGGCAGCTAAACTTAATTTTCCCCGAAAGCGAGAAGGCTTTAATCTTAATGCCAGATCGCAGCGCATTGCAGTTTCGTTTATGCTGGCTGGCGTAACCCTCGCAAAAACCGAATAAATATTCACTTTTTACTTCACTTGTTGTTGTGGTTGCATTATTATTGTCGTAGCTATTGTTGTTGTTGTTATTTTCAGCGGTGATGGCGATGCTGCTGCTTCTGTGGTCGTCCTGGTCGAAAATTCCCCAAAGAATCTGACGCACTTATCGCAAATTACTTTGGCAGTTGCAGCGATGCAGCGTTGCTTTTGTGTATAAATTTAACAATTTACCCATACACGTGCAGGCATGTGTACATTGCATGCGCAGGGGATTGTAAATTACCATACACACACATACGAAGACTAAATGTGTCCAAAGAACGTGCAATGTCCATGTCCATGGCCGCCAGGAAAGGAAAGTAAAGTAAGGGTGGGGGTAAGGAAAGTACAGTACAGGATTTGTAAAACTTTTGGCCAACATGGCGTATGCATAATATTTCTCCCTGCCGCATGTCGGCCGACAAACTTCATTAACAAACACACAGTAGCCAGAAATGCAGCATGCCGAAAGCCCACGAACTTGCCGCAATAACAATGCAAATGTAACAGCTCGAGATGTTGCAGGTTGCAGCTGCAACGTGCCGTTGCATTCCCCTCCAATTAGCCGCACAACTCATTAAGCTTTCCCGCGGCGACTTACCGCCGCTTTTTAAAGCACACTTTCTGGCACTCGTCAATTAGCATTTGTTTCGGGGCGTTTAATGGCCATCCAGATGTTGCTGCTGTTGCTGCAATAATTTATTGTTGCCATTGCCGGCTTCATAAGATGTTAACGCGCACTTAATGCCACTTAAAAATACGCATAAATCGCAGAAAGAGTTTTCGGCCAAAAGGAGGGAAATGGCGAGGACAGAGAGAGGACGGTTGGCCACTTGTCCACTTACATGGCTACTTACAACGCTGCTCAAGCATATGCATGCAGATGACCATGTTGCAGCCACCTCCCCATTCCTCACCATACCATTCCGTACCATACCGCATCAGTAGCAGCTGCATAAAAACAAGGTCGAAACAAGGGGACAGTGCTGAAAATGTACACAAAAATAAGGCAAAAAAAAAAAATAAAAATGAAAACCGAGCAACAACACGGCAACAGCAACTGCGGCACGCAATTAAGTGCATTTAATTAATTATTGTTGATAAAATAATATTTTTGCAATTTATTGTACAAGCGGCAGTTGGGCATTTGTGTGTTGGTGGTGGTGGTGGCAGTGGGTGGGTGAGACTGACGCCCACCACCCGTTATTTATGCATATGTGAGCGCAAATAAATAACGCCAACGATGGCAGCATAAAAAAGAAGAAAAAGGGTGTAATTATTAAAAGTGATAAGACTAGAAAATATCCCGTAAGTAGCAGCGAATAATTTTATTAATATATTTTTTGAGGCGAACTAACCAGTTATAATTAAAGATTTTTATATATATTTTTGAAGTATTAAATAGTAACCTTTATTTTAAACGATATATTTACTAAGCGAACTAACCAAATAAGCGCATGGAAATTATAAGCTTAAACGTAAAATGTAATATATTTTTGTATTAAAAGAAAAGTTTAGTTCTTTTACTTCTAAACATAATTTAAGATTTTTAAACATATTTTTAACTATCAGACGTTAGCTTCTTAAAACATTTTTTTTAAAAAACTGTCATTTAATCTGCAAAATTACAGGGTACACATTACGTTGGCGGCATTCTCCTGCGTTGACGTTATCAGAACTCCGGCAGTTACTGGCCGCAGACGCAGCGATATCGCTCCTGTGGCAGCAGCATTGCCTATCGCACTGGCCAACATAGAAACTATGGCAGATCAATTCGAATAACAATAATTTCTTCCGGTCGAATGGCAGCGCCAGAACAATCAGACAGCGGCAGAGATGCAGATATAGCTGCATATTCATATATGCGGCTGCGAAAGTATCTGCATCTGCAACTGCAACTGCAGCTGCATTGTTGCTTTTGCTGTTTGCTGCATTTTAAACAGGATGCGCATAAGTATACGAGGATTGACAGGATGTGCGGGCCATGCACATGCATTTTGTTTGCCGCTGACGTTGCCACCCCCCGCCCCCTGCCACCTGCCACCACATCTGCCTCTCATTTTAAATCGGTGGGCGGCATACACATGTTCAGAGCGGCAGGGTCACGCCCCCCACAGCACTAATTTGTATTGTTTTCGCTGTTAATGAATTTCATATATTGTATTTATGCGAATGCACTTAATGCGAAAATTATTTGCGTTGACAATGCTGTAGATCGAAGAGGAATTTAAATCGGTTGTCGATTTCGAGAGATACGGGCTTAAATTAAGCCAGGGGATAAAATAATATTAGATATTGTGGCATTAAAGCGATATAAGGACTTAAAAGATTTTAAATGTTAATGTAAAAGTAATGCTTAATATTTTTTTGATTTCATTTGCTCTTGAATGTAAAATTATTTTTAATAATCCATTATAAATAAGATTTTTACTTTAAAACAAACTCAAAATGATTATTAAATATTATTAAAGTAATTTAAAATTAGGATACAAGTTAAATAAATCGCTTGTGATTATGACAGCTTTGAAAATATGAATGCCATTTATTTTCTTTATGTTAAATCGGTTAAAACTCAACAGAGGCCGTAGGATTAATGGGTTTTGTTCCACTCCTCGCGTTCCTCGCGCTCCTTCACCACCTCGTTGAGATAGGGCTCCAGGTACTTGATGTCCTCCTCGTACTGGGTCCACTGCTCCTTGGGCAGGATAGTCTTGGTCATGGAAAGGTGGAGTGCCCGCATAATGCGGTAGTTGCGCTCATCGTACATCTTGCGGGGCAGACGACGCACTGCCTCCGCCACATCCTCGTTCTCGTAGAGGCAATCGTCGCGATAAAGACCGTATTGGTTAAATCCCGACAGGTTGTAGGCCCATTTGCCCAGCTTGGAAAAGACTGCCGGTCCCACTCTAGCCACATACTTCGACATGATTTACGAACAAAAAATCCAAATTTGGAAAGTACTTCGGTAATATTATGTTAAATAAACTGGTTAGTCGTAGATCTGACAGCTTACTCAGTGATATTCTATAAGGGATTCCTGATAAAATACTCTTTGATGTGTCCAAATATAGACTGTCACAATAATCCGTCCTTCCAAATATTTACTAAAAAAACTGTATGCCTTGCCCTCGTCATAAAAGTTACATTGTCGAATAATAAGTGAAGCGAGTTTGTTTCCTTAATATTTAAATGCTTTTAACTATTTCCAACCCAATAAAAATCAGTAAAAATATTTTATCAAACGCATTTCTTTAATATATGTACGAAACTTGCAAAGTCTATTTTGGACTGGCATATATTTGGTGCGGATACGGACTTCCAAAACGTAGGTGCGTCACAGGATGTTTCTGGCAGCTGCTTCCCCGCTTAGCAAGGACCACAAGGGCCGAAGCCACAAGGTCCGGGTCCACAGGGTCCACACGGTCCGCATGGACCGCAGCCTGGACCGAAGGGTCCACAGGGGCCAGGTCCGCAGGGACCGCAACCTGGTCCACAAGGTCCGCAACCAGGTCCACATGGCCCGCAGGGTCCGCATCTACCCTCAGCGACAGGATATTGATTGGTGGAGAAGCAGGGCAGTGGGCAGCAGGGTCCTCCGGGGGCACACGGTCCAATCGGGCAGGGTGGACAGGCGGCACTTGGTTTGTAGTTGATGGGTCCATTCGGATAGCAGCAGTACTCCCTTGGCGGAGGAATATCGATGGTCTGCGGCTTCGGTTGGCACAGGATCGACTGGCATACTTCGCGAGGCTCGCAAACCCTCTTCGGATAGCACACCACATAGGGATCGGGGATCATCGAGGGATAGTAGATAACCCTGGGCTCTCGCACCATCTGCGACACCCAAATGAGCTTGGGCACCTTGATGACTCTTGTGGCATCCACCACCTTTGGTATCGTGATCTGCCGACATCTGTTCACTACCATCGGTTCCGGCACAATCTTTTCCGTGAAGACCACTCGCTTTTTGCAGATCATCCGCGGTGGCTGCTGGACGGTGATGCACTTGGGGAAGGGAGGCGGTATGCGCGGAGCACATTGTGGCAAGGCCTCCAATTGGGCTGCATTGTAGCACTTGGGCGAGCACTCAAAGGGACCGCAGCAGGGATCACAGGGACTGCAAGGGCCGCACGGAGAGCACATGGTTTGATTCTATAAGTATTAACCGAAATCGGATCTGAAAAAATTTTTTTATTTAATTTTTTTGTTTTATAAAATTTGAACAGAAAAATTTGGAAGCGTATCGGAGCGAAACTGGTTTCGAAATGGCAAATATACCTAATGGCTCAGCCTAACTAGACTGACAAGCAAAGGCAAAGCCTACTTGAAAAAAAGTTTTTAAATTTAATAAAATATTTTATTTAAAAGTAGCCTTTCCTTTTTACGTCAAATTAAAAACTTTTAGTGACATTCGCTTAAATCCGATTTTTATTTACAGCCAATGAGTCGCCAATGCGTTGACAAAGCAGAGTGAACTATAGACTTTTGGTAGTGATTTTTAGCAGGACAGCGAGAACAATATGATATTCTGTATTGGTCGGCATAGACGAAGTTGGTCCACAGGGCACTGGTTTTTCTGACAACGGGCATAATCCGGGCAAGAAGTCTGATGACGATCTCAACAGGGTCCACAGGGACCGCAGGGAACTTGGGGACCGCAAGGACCAACCGGACCGCAGTGGGTGTTCCAGGGAGTTGGGGCGCACGGGTAGCAGGGTCCGCACTCGGGCGATTCGTACGGACAGGGGGGCGAACAGGGTCCGCAGGGTCCGCAAGGACCGCAGGGACTGTTGCCCAGGGGTCCGCATGGTCCGCAGGGCGCACAGGGTCCACAGGGCGATGGGACAAACGGACCCGACGGCATCGTGAGGCCACAAGGCCCGCAGTTGGGAACGGCACACGGTCCGCATGGACCGCATCTCGGCCCGCAGGGACCACACGGGCCGGGTCCGCAGGGACCACATCGCGGTCCGCAGGGTCCGCAACCTGGTCCACATGGCCCGCAGGGTCCGCACCTGCCCTCGGCGACGGGATATTGATTGGTGGAGAAGCAGGGCAGTGGGCAGCAGGGACCCCCAGGAGCACACGGTCCAATGGGGCAGGGTGGACAGGCGGCACTGGGTTTGTAGTTGATGGGTCCATTCGGATAGCAGCAGTACTCCCTAGGCGGCGGAATGTCGATGGTCTGCGGCTTTGGTTGGCACAGGATCGACTGGCATACTTCTCTCGGCTCGCAAACCCTCTTCGGATAGCACACCACATAGGGATCGGGGATCATCGAGGGATAGTAGATAACCCTGGGCTCTCGCACCATCTGCGACACCCAAATGAGCTTGGGCACCTTGATGACTCTTGTGGCATCCACCACCTTTGGTATCGTGATCTGCCGACATCTGTTCACAACCATCGGCTCCGGAACAATCTTCTCCGTAAAGACCACTCGCTTCTTGCAGATCATCCGTGGTGGCTGCTGGACCGTGATGCACTTTGGAAAGGGAGGCGGGATGCGCGGAGCACATTGTGGCAATGCCTCCAATTGGGCCGCATTGTAGCACTTGGGCGAGCACTCGAAGGGACCGCAGCAAGGATCACAGGGACTGCAGGGACCGCACGGAGAACACATGGTTTTTTTGTCGACTCACGTTTTCCAAAAATAAAATTTATAGAAAAGTATCGTAAACTTTTTTTTTAGAAATTTTTACTGTACAATTTGGAAGTTATTCGGAGCGAAAATAGAAACTGAATGAGATCTAACAAAGACACGACGACAGCATAGCGAAAGGTTATCCAGGGCTCCTTCGATCGATATATTGAAAAACGAGTTCTCTGATTTTCTTTATTTTTTTACATATATATTTATTATAAAATGCCGTTCTATCTTTAAATTTATTATATTATTTAAAATGTAGTAATAAACAAAATTTGTGATTGAATTTATTTAAATATATAGTGCAAAATAGTTTTCACACAGCTATAAAAATCCCTTTGAATTGTAAAATATGTTAATATTGCTTAAATCTTCTGCGTTCGATTGCTTAAACGCTTGCAATGAAAAATCGCCGAGCGGCTCTTGAATGGAATGCATTTTGCAAACCGGATTCCATCTCCACATGACGTATGCGCGACGTATCTGCATATATTTCAACAATATGGCATCTGCCGTTGAGTGGGTTTAAGCCTTTAATATGCTAGCGCCTTTATGTAGGCAGGACGCGTTTTTTTCGGCCCGGCTGAAAGCCAACTTGGAAAAAACTACAACGAATTACAGAAAAACGTCGGAAAACACTCTGGCAAGCCCGGCCTATTGAATATACATATATGGGTTTGTTTTTTGCCCAGTGCCTGGACATGTCAGCGCCGAAAAAAGCGTTTGCAAGGTGGTCGGGTTGGATGGGTTTTGGTCCTGAAAGCTTTAGTGCGCGGGTGGTCGGTGCAATCGGCGCTTTGTGCATGCCACAACCATTGCGACACTGAACAATTGCGCATCCACAAAAAACTACAACAAGGAGCGTGGTCACAGCGGTCCATCGATGTTGACAAAGGCTTTTGCATGCGATTCAGGTAAATTCTAAAATATTTGCTCCATTTTAAATGCAAAAGAAGCGGCAAGAGCCATGATACAGTGTGTGCTCAGAATCAAAACATTTCCAGTAGTTTAACAATAAATAAAAAAATTAAACCAAAATATATGGAGATATCTAAAATATGTGTAAGGCTTTGAGTAAAAGAAAATGTTTTCTGGATTAATAATTTAGTTTTTACTAAATAATAATAAAGAAATAATAATAATAAATAATTAAATACATTTTTTCTTAGTTTATTTTAGTTCAATACGGTCTATTTAAACACTTATTTAATAGTCCGCCTTTAAATTGTATTTTGTGTGCAAATCAATTAAATTTAATTGCTTCCTATGAACTTGGTTATCCAAAGTACCACTTTAAAAATCATCAAATTATTTCCAAGAAAATGCGGTCCAATAAATGTCTTAATTTAGCAAATTTTAGAAGCAACATTGATTTAATCGATTTGATTTCGGGCTGCGTTCTAGGAACTCGACCAGTTCTTCGGCCTGTAATAACAAGCCTTTGGCTTATGGTCGTAATTATGCAAGAAAAACATCAACTTCTTGGGCTCGAGTGGCCCCGGAGCGCTTATCGAGCGAGAGAGGCTGACGTTCGCCGTCCAAGTTTCCAGCCACAGACAAAGCGACGGCTAATCCGCACAATTTCCAGAGCCCCATAGAGCCTGTCTAATCACAGACCCACCACTTGGCATCACAGTGCCACCACCGAAATTGTCAGCTAATAATGCAAACAATAACAGGCAACAGTCCGAAGAAATGGCGCACATTTCGCATAATTATGGGGCGGATCCCTGTCGAGATGGCCCGGCTAAGGCGGCGCAATTAGCGGACTTAGTTCGGGACTAGGCCCAAAACAATGTTGGGTTGGCAAATGGGGAAATAAGCACAGGCTGGCCATAAATTGGCCTCCACAGTGCCTGCTGGAGAACAGATAGAGCAGCAAGTGTCAGTTGTCGGATGTTTTTGGTATAGCTACACTGTGGAAAAGTTGTCATTAAAGAATAGCCTTCTCTTTAAGAAAAGTTTGTATTTAGTTTGAACGTTTTAGATTTTTGTAAAATATTTTTATAATTTTTTTTAGAGTGTTCTATTGGCTTTCTGACAGTTTCTTGGTCTTTCGCCTACTTTAATAAATTTAATCGCACCTTATAGACCGTTGCAGACCTCCTGAAATGGGGCCCACATTTTGGTCCTCGGTCGCTTTTGTTGTTTGCTTGCATTCTTTGCGGTCGTTTGACGTTGATAAGTATTCTGATTTATTGACAAACAAACTGTGAGTGTGCGGGCATTGTGGCAGCATTTATTTAAATTTATATATTTATTTATGGGCTGCGCGCAGGCAAATACACACACGGATAGACAGATGGATCGTTGTTCAATCGGAGTTATGCCTTAACCCATTTTGTACCGCATTTCAATAGGTATTTAATTGTTTTGTTTAAGATTTTAGTGTTTTTTAGCTAAAACAGTTTTTTTTTTCAATCTAGTTTTTAGGATGTGAGCTGCTCGATTAAATTTATTTATTACATTTAATTTTGAATTTAATGTAAATAAACATCATAAGTACCTAAACCATTTTAGTTTAATTTATTAAATAATAAATCATTTTTAAACTTATGTTTGCCAAAAAATACAAAATGGGTTAATCAGATTTTTTGGCTCCCGCTTTTTTATGCATTTGCTTCGATGCATTTCCGTTTGATTTCAATAATTTCAACTTCCGGCACAAACCGGAAATGACAAATAAAATGCAGCGTCATTCAAGTACACTGGAAAAGATCAAAGCGTTATATTGCGTTATAAAAATGAAAAGCTTTTTCCCAAGGTGATTTGTTTGCAGTGCATTTTGGTACTCTTGAAATTATTGTTAAACTTTTTAATGTGTGATGTGTCATTTAAAAGTGCAATAAAGGGGTACCATAAAGTATTTTAATATGGATATGCAAATGGTACCCATTTTTTAAGAAATATTATAAAACTTTTAATATTATGGTTATACATTTTTCTAGGTTTATTAGTTTTGGAAAATGATTGTTCCCAATTTTATTTAAAAAATGTTCCGATTTAAAAATAAGTGTCATTTTACTGGCATGACTTTTGCCTTAATTGCATCATCTCAGTTGCAACTGTAAGAAAAATCGCATAAATTACGTGATTTTCGGGAAGGCTTGTTTCTGCCCAAATCCGTGCACATAAGTTGTTTATTTTTTGCCAGGCAGTAAATTTGCAGGCGCATGCATATGGGGAATGACCATGAATTACATAAAAAGCCGCAAATACCGAAGTCAAAATGCGTGGCCTCAACGTTTCTGTGTATTGTAAAGCATGCCGATGTGCATGTGTAAGGGGAAAGCATTTCCATCGCCGCTCCCTTGCAACATGCAAACGATTCAGTCAGTGGCAAAAGGAAAAAAAATTCAAATATATATTGCAATCCTTTAGGCACGCGGAACATAATGAAACGAAAATGCTACTGTGGCAACAGCAGCAGCAGCTGCAAGGACATTCAGGACCAAGGACCGAGAACCAAAAACCAGGGACCGGCCGAAGCCGTCCGCTTGCCATTTGCCGAATAAGAAAAAATAAATAAAAATGTGAAAATATTTCTTTGGCCAACATTTTTACAGCCGCCTGGCCCCTCTCATCCTCTCCATTCCTAGGCTGACCCCGCTTGCCAACCAATTCGCAGCCATTTTTATACAGAAAATGTTTTTATTTATTCCGATGGGGCGGCCACATCCTCTTCCCTCGTTTTCTTGTGCGGTAGGGATGCTTATCGACTGGAAAATTTCGATATATTATATATCGACTAAAATAGGGCTTTTAATATAATGGTATGAACAAAAATATCGAAAGTTTCATTTTGAATTTTTAAGAACCAAACTTGTAAGATTTTATAACTATTATGTATTTGAGGAATAATACTTTAAGATTGCAAGATAATTTACAAGACTCCAAATGAGTATGAAAAAATATTTATTTATTTCCTTAGTATGTATATATTCTTTGAAATTATTAAGAATGTCACAATAATCATAATATACAAGCCCAACAATAGAAATAGGTATTTTAAAAGAAGTTGTATTATAAAGTTTAAATTTAACTGAATGTTAATTAAAAGATAAATATTCAAAATATAAATAAACTCTATAAATACTTTTAAAAATATTGTTTTGTAAAAATATTATTTTTTTACAACATGTCTTGTTATTTTGTAGGTTTTTTATTACTCTATCGGCCCTATTACCATCTCTATGTAAAAGGCGAGTTATCGCCCGTGCCCCAAAATCCATGCAACTGGGCCTGGCTTGTGGCCGTCGGTTGATTTATATTGATGAATGTCCGTTTGTTCGTTAGTTCCGTCTTCGCAGGCTGCCAAAGAGATTTACTTGCAAGGGGCGGGGAGGCGTGGTAGTTATTTTACTCTTTGCCTTTTGTTGTGCTGCACTCGCACATACACATATATATATCCACACATATATGTATATCCACACACACACTGGGTGCACTTGCTTATGCTCAGTGCCAGAAATTATTGCATACTTTACGGAAATTAACCGCATTTCCATTTCTTGCACGCACACAGGATGGCTGCGTCATCTCGTCCTCCCATTTCCCCCCAAGTCCCCGGAACACCCATCTCCGGGCTTCCACTTGTATACATATTTACAATTTTAATGACTTTATTTTTGTGCTGGAATAAAATATTTTCAGACACTTACATAGGGTGAAGTAGAGTTATTTTGGTTGGGTTTTCTTATGTTGGGTAAATGGAAAAATAGTTTGATTTTTTATTTATTTGATTAACTGAAAATAAAACTAAAAATCACAAAAACATACAAAACATACCTAAATATTTAAAAATTAATAAGTATTCATAAAATATTTTTGCATTTATCCTACATTGGAACCAAAAATTTTATTAGTTGTAAATCCTATCCTTAAAATAACAAAAATACCTATTACTCCTTCTAAATATTTGTTATATTTTTTTTTTTAATAAATGTTTATTAAATATTTCTAAAATTAATTTGAAGAGTATTAAGACTTTGGCTTTGTGCATACGACATTATCGTTCGTTTCATTCGCCTTGTTGCTGATTCGTTCAGGTCACTTTTGAGGGAGCTGCTGAAGGAGAGAAGGGAATTAACTGAACAAACCGTCGCACAATCATATTTCTTTGTGACATTTTCCTTGTGCATTATTAATCAACCGGGAGTATTTTAATTTATGTTGACATGCACTTATTTATAAAGCGCAACCGAAATGCGAAAAAATATTTTAACCGGAAACCACATGCGAAACCAGAATGTCGCCGATTTCTCAGTTATTTTTGGCAACGACATCAGCAAATGCATTAGGTGTGCATGTGAAATTAACTGAGAACTTTTTAATGACTATTTTTTAAAGCTGAGTTTAATATTTGTAAACTTTTCACGTAAAGGAAGAAAAACCCAAAGCAATTGCATTGACTATGCCGAAGGGTTGGGAAAGTGGATTCGTGCCAAATGGTTTTTTATTTACAGAAAAATATAAATTTCCATGCAAAGCGAGGCAGCCTTGTGAAATGCGATGAAAGGAAAATCAACTCCTGGCGAAAGGGGTGAAAATGCTTTAGATTAAATTAAGATAGGCTAGCATAAAGGCAGCACAGCAGGTGACTTAACTAATTGAATTCCACACAATCTGTATTTTTCTCTCGCAATGCTTTTCATTAAAACCGTTGCCAGGGGAAACACCTTCTTCTGCTAGACGAAGCTGGGAGATATTAATATTTCACTATGGCTGAACAAAAAATTTGATTGCATTCAATCAATGGAGGGCGGAACAATTCCTTTGATTGACAGCAGTGACCTCCGCTCCGTCCGCTGATCAAAGTTCAAGGGGCAATTGGCACGCCGGATGCGTAATCTATTTCAAACAGCGACCATGCAAATCGAAGAAGCTATAGCCATCGCCATTGCCTCTCAGCTGTCGAGTGTCGGATGCACGCGAGTACAATACAACACAATTTGCTGGTTCTGCTGCTGCCGCCGCTCCCTCCGTCGTCCTTTTCGTCCTTTTGTCCTGTCAGGCCGTCTGTCGAACAGCGAGATGCATAGAGAAATTGCATATAAAATGCAGACAAATAACTTGCTCCCCATGTTTAGCGTATGCCCTAACGCCTGACATTAACAATGCAGCAGCAATAGCAACAGCAGCAGCAACAGCAACATCAGCAACAGCAGCATCAGCGGCAACCAGCTGGCAATAAAATGTAACAAACACATTGACTGCTGACAAATAGCATTGCCTGTCAATTCATCAAAAAGAAAAAGGCAGCGAAGAGCGTCAGCGAACGCGCAAAACTATTGACATGCACACGCATCGAACACTCGAAGAAAATCTTTCAATTTATGAAATATTTTTTAAAAGGGGTTTTAATATAAGATAGGTTTAAAGGTTTCGATTTATGTTATTGGGGGTGCCTAAAAGTATGCAGGTAATAAAAGACTATCGTCTTCTTGTAAGAACTCAAATCACTTTAAAAATACAAATATTTAGTTGCATTCTTTTAGACACCTGTTTTAAAATTTTAATGTGATTTCAGTTGGTTTTAAAAAGTATCTTTAAATTAAATAGTTTTTTAAGCTTTTAATATTTTTAAATTATTTCCAACAGTGCATCGTAAGCGGATCTGATCGAATTGGGTATAGGATGCGGGACGCAGGATGCAGTATGCAGGAGGCGCATCCTTGCACTGCTGACTCGGCAGTGCCAATGGCAGACTTGCAGCAAATTTGCTTAGCTGCCAAACCAAACTTCGATTGCCGCGAGCCTGCGTGTGAGTGTGTCTAGATGTGTCTATATATGCGAGAAATAGGAGAGACTGTTACAAATTGTTTTGAAATGAAATTCAAACTGCAACTGGGAAACGGTGCATATTGCTCTGTGCGCGCACTTCGCGACCTCGAAACTTCAAGCGTCTTCTGGCTTTCTGGCTTAAGAAATACCAACTAGAAAGTTGACATCTTTGTGGGCAGGATCAAAGCGATTATTTCGGTTGTTTCAAGGTTTTTACATCTCGCCAAAGGATGGAAGTAAGGGAATAAGGAACAACCTAAACGACTGCCCTTACCTTTATTTCTTACGTAACAAATTGCCTCAATTATTTCCATTTTTCCCCTCCCACCGGTTCACTGGCCGACTTTATGCTTGTAGCTAGGGGTATAAAAACTTTATTAAAAACTTTTGTGCCCAAGCCTTTTTATTAGACCCTGTCTGCCCTTAGTCGGGCCCTGGTTTATATACCTTTTGTATATATATTTATAAAACACACGCACATTTAGACGGCTCCCTGGCCGCAATACTGCACTCCAGGGGCGTTGAGGAAATCAAATTAAGAACATTTTCTTTGGCGAAACTTTTTGCGCCTGTTTAGAGTTTTGTAATACTTCAACACCCCCGCTTTGAAGCTATTAAGGTTCGGCCCTATCTGCTGTCGGTCTTAGCCCCATGTGGTTACTTGAAAAATGCTAAATGGTCCCAGAGCAATTGCAGCCACAACAACATAAATAGCAGCCAAGGCAACAGCAATTTTTGGCCTTAAAGCCAATGAATTTGGCTGCTGGTCTCCTGTCTCATAAAAGGAAGCAAGGTGCTGCTTAAAAACCGGCTATATTTTGCACTAAAAGTGAAATTATAAAAGTTTTTCCACACAGTCTATATATGTTTTAGCGGGTTCCTTAACTTTGCAATGACGTTAAATACCAATAAACTGTATAAATAAGGCAAAAATGTTTAGCAAGATGAAAATTCACTCAAAAATATTTATTTATTTATCAAACTTAAAATAAACACCTTGAAATGAGAAAAATAATATTTTTATTGTTTTTTATTTATTGGTTTTTATTTATAGGTTTTCCAAATTATTAAAATTTGATACTATGACATCTACGTCCAGCACAACTCCCACAATCCAGTCAATATAGCTATTGATCTCGGAATATACACAAGTACTCAAAGCGCCATAGCTTTGAAGTCCGACTAATAGGTTACTAGTTTTTCCCGAAACTAATATTTCGCCGACCAAAGGACTTCCTGATCCAGCACATTTTTTCCTGCTTTTAAAACCAGCGCAAATCTGAGATTTTTGGACAGTCTTACCGAAGGCATCGTAGCACTTTTTTTGACTAAGCATGAAGATATCGTTTTTACGCGAAACCTTTTTTCCCTTAGCTGAAACCCAGCGGCTGGCTTTTAAGTTCTTCCAGTCTCTGAATTGCATTGGTATATTCAACCAGATGCATATTGGCCGTATCCGGCTTGGACTTTCTAGTACAAGTATAGCAATATCATTTTCAAAAGTGTTTCTGTTGTAAGACTGGTGTTTGTAGGCCATTTGGACCGTGTGTTTTTCGATGTCTTTCCTAGATTTTCTAAGCCAAACTTTACTGTTGAATTTCAAAAGGTTAGTTGCCAAAGTATAAATTTTAGTTTAAAATACATACCTGTCCCTTTGATCAAATATGCAGCTAGCTGATGTTATGACATGACCTGAAAATCATGCTCCAATATATCACGCTTCTCTTAAAATCTCAAGATAAATACCAACTTTTACTTATAAGCGCTCCGCTACAGTTTTTTGTGGGTGATTCAATAAAGGCCAGCCAAGGAATACGTTTAAAAATTCTCGGGTTAGTGTTTTTCTGATTCACGCAATTGAAATCCAATAATTCAGCTGATCCCAAATGAATTAGTAGCAAAGCCAATAATATAAACCGAAAAGAATAAACAGCCCTCATTTCAAACGAAATGAATCCGAAAAACTGAACCATACTCAAGTTGTATTCAACTACAAATACTTGAGAAAAATAGAGAGAGAGATTAAAGCTTATCAGCAAAAATAAAATTAAATATGAAATGTTTACAAATCTCAAAAGTGGCTGGTAAAGGTTATCAGCATACACAGAAAAAATAATTTAGCATATCATATCAATATCATATATTGTTATTATAGATATTGAGGAAATCAGGTAAAATCAGGTAATTTTGATGATTGTTTTTGTTTATTTGTTTCGGTTTTTTTTTTTTTTAGATTTTTAATTGTAGGCATGCTCTAAATTCGAAACAACGACATCAACCTCCAGAATGATTCCCACCATCCAGTTAGTGTAGCTTGAGATATTGGTATATAAACATGTTTCCAAATCGCCATAACTTTGAATTCCGAAAAGTGTGGAAAATGTATGGTTGTTTCGCTTAATATTATGGATCAAAGGACTTCCAAGCTCCGCGCAGTTAGTATTGTTTGTTTTGTAGCCAGCACAGATTTGAAAATTTTGTGGAGAGAGATTTAAGGTCTTTTCGCACTTTTTCGGCTTAAAAATGGTAATTGGGTTTGTTCGGGATCCTGAGTTTATATTCCCATCTAAGCCCCAGCGGGTGGCGTAAAAGCTCTTATGTTTTTTTACTGCGATATCGTCTAACCAAATGCATATGGGCCGTATGTGGGCTTTATAGAGCACATCTTCTGCTAGTTCGAGCAATGCAATGTCATTATTATATGTTTTTTCTTCATAAGAATAGTGAATGTAGGCGCTTCGGATGTTGTAGTTTATAGGGGTATATTCATTACTAAAATCCTCCAGTTTTGGGCTCTTGAAATCCCCCAAGCGAACGGTGCTGTTGGATGGCAACTGTCTAGAAGACGATGAATCGCTTTGATTAAAAACACAATTAGCTGATGTTACGACAAATTCTGAAACAAAATTATTATTAGTTTAGTTTTGATAGAATTAAAGTATTTATACAAACGTGTGTGAATCAGGGTGCCAGTGCATGTTTTATTGGGTATTATGATCAAAGCCATCCAGGGACTATCGGAGATCACATGGTTATCAAACCGAGAAACAGTACCGCAGTTCAAATCCAATAGCTGCGTCGAAACCCGATAAAGCAGCATCCACGAGAGGAAAGCAAAACAAATATAGGAATTCATCATTCCAAGAAAACAGTTCGCCAGCGACTGAACCATTCACAAGATTTGTTTAATAAATAAAAATGCGTTCTGCTTATCAGCACTGACGCATAGAAAAATATATAATACACAATTTTATTGCAAACTTACTTAAAGTTGTTAAACATGATTTAGCCTTAGGAATAAGCTACAAACATTTAAATTGATAGAGATCTGTGTTCCTGATTAAAGTCTTTATTAAATTTAATATAATTTATTAAATACCACATCGACTTCTAACACGACTTCCACTATCCAGTCAATATATTTGATAATATTGGTATAAACACAAGTTCCTAAGGCGCCATAGCTCTGAATTCCAATAAGTGTGTAACGATTAGTGGAAATTTGAATGCCCAAAGGACTTCCTAGTTCAGCGCATGTGTCTTTGTTACTGTAACCAGCGCAGATCTGCGTTTGATCGGGATTTTTACCAAAGGCATTTAAGCATTTTCTATTTTCAAATTTGTTAATCCTGTTCGACGTAGGTCTTCCAATTGCGTTCCAGTCGGTGGCCTTAAATGTCATATGACTTTCCAACTTCAAATCCTCGTTTAACCAAATGCATATCGGTTTTATATTGATCACAGCCTCGTGTAGCTTAAGCAGAGCTATATCATTCGTATACTTTTTGTGGAGCTGGTGAATGTAGATTTCTTGTACGGAATAATATTTATACCCTCCGTAAATATTCACCAAGCGAACGAATCTGTTAAAAGATTACCAATTGGTTTAGTGATTTAGGGATAGTATTTTGTCCACATACCTCTGATTTTGATTAAATATACAGCTTGCGACTGTTAAGACATAATCTGAAATAAATTAAATATTTTAAAGTTTCCGTAAATGTATTTAAAACGTAAACATTATACAAACTTCTATTTACAAGCGTTCCCGTGCAATTTCGATTATCTGATACAATCAATGCCATCCATGAAGTGTAACTTTTATCAGGAGGGTTAATTTCACATTTTGAATCCAGAAGCTGTCCATATACTTCATGGAGCAGCACTAATGCCAGTATACCAAAACAAGACGCTGAGTTCATCATACTGATCAAAAGTGTTCTAATAACGCAACCAATGGCGAGTGGTGAGTATATATTCCAAAAAAAAACGAGATAAGATGTATGCTTATCAATACAGGCACAGAAATAAATGTTTATTTGTTTTTTTTTGTTCTTCTTTGTGAATTATTATATATATTATTGTATATATTTATACAATCTACAGAGGTCGGGACCTTTAAACTTTTTTTTTATTTTATAACTATAAAAAAAACCCTAAGTTTATTTTTAAAATTTTACATCATTTTCAATAAAAAAGGAAAATACTCTGCATTATCTGCGATTGTTTTACGAAAGGAAAATGTTTAAAATTCTTAAATGTCTAAGAATAAAGTATGATTTAATATATATGTATCATTAAATATTATTTTGTCAAGATAATTTAAAATTGTTTGTCGAACAAAAAAACATACAAAAATTAAAATTTTTTTTCTTCTTTTTTTCTTCTTTGCGCCAAACGACTTAGGATCTTTATTATAGACTAAATTTACATCACACACATGCTCAACGATTTTCAGTTAACCGGCGTTTACAAGGTCAATTCAGTGGCTTTTGTGTGTTTTTGGCCCATGATCCTGCACCTCGCCTTCTGGCTGTGCTTATTGTTTTGCCGCCCGGCCATATCCCTTTCAAGTTCAATAATGTCATAGAGCGTGTCGCAGGGCAGGCGTCTAAATTTATGGCCCAAACGGTTGACCTGAAGGCCGCGTGGCCCGTAGAGCAGCACGTGCTTCTGCTTCGGGGCCAGGGAAATAATTTAGCCAAAAACATGTGAAGCTCGCCATATAAATTATGCACACTCACTCGCTCGACAGACGACAACACATGGGTTGCTTTAAGGTATCGCATTGTCTATGCGACCTGCCCACCAATGCAACAACATCAACCACTTCGGACATAACTCACCGCCTTGGCCTTTTATTTTATTGTATTTTATCTTTTGGATTACTTTCTGCCATGACCACAACAAATAAACTTGAGCATCTTTGGGAAAAACCCACCGGGGCGCTGTGGTGGGGGAAAACTCTGGCAGGAAAAGAAAAGATTTCCGTGGCATTGTTGCTGCTGCCACTGGTGCTTCTGCCGCTCCTTGGCTCGAGTTTGCCCGGAGGTCTGGAGCTGGACAACGGCAACAATTGCGCATGTTAACATACTTGTAAGTAGTTTTTCCACTTTGCCATGGTATTTTGTTTTTTTTTCATACCCAGTGCTATTGGGTTTCAAGGGTATGTTGTGTTGAAGCTCTGGTCGATCAAGAAATAGTGATGTAAAACCTTTGTAAGCCTGTGTCCTTTGCCTTACCCAATTTGGTATCTTAAGATTTTACGTAGAAAGAGTTTTGTTAAATTTCTGTCAGCCAAACACCGAAAAAATCTAGTTTAAAGCTTATAACTTATAAGTTATAAGGGTATTAAAATATTTCAATATTTATTTTAATAATATTAAACAAAATATTCGTTGTTGTATAATAAAACAATCAATAAAATGAAATAGTTATACAATTTCTTTTAAGTTTAAGCTAGCTATATCTCTCTAGGAGATTTAAAATAGAGTGAGATAGCGCTTAAAGTTACGTCAAAATTTATACCACATAACGTGAAATCGATCTTCGTTTCATATCAAGTTTTTTGTGGCTGTATGTTTAGGATACCTCCTAGTCGACTCACAATCTCCGTACTTCCTGATTTTTTTCCCTTTTATTTTTCCATCCCCCACAACGGACACATTTGTTTTCCTGGGGGCAGTTGCCTTTGTTTTTGTAATTATCTGCACGTTATTTGTGGGTCAATAAAGTTTCGTTTCATAGTTTGAGCGGTTGTCTGGCTCTCAGCCCGGCTCGGGATTTATGGCATATGCGTTTTGGGCTAATTTTCAGTGCCGCTGACCATGCCATTGGCCAGTAAAACATTAATAGCAGAAGAGGAAATGCTTGGAATGCTTCTTAAAATAGCATCGGGGCGATTTAACGGGCAGCTGGGCAACGTTTGCTCTCCTCCAGATGTTGATTAATTTATCGATACTCGCTCGATTGTCGGGTGTAATTGTAGCTGCCTGTCAGGGGATCGTATTGCCAGAGATTTATATGATGGCGTGATGGGTTGGTTGGGTTGATTGGGGTGCTACCATCTCTTCTTTCGATTCTTTCTCCCTGTACAAATCATTTGTGATAAATTGCCGGCAATCGGTGCTCAATTATTTAATAAGCCCGACTGCCAACTATTGAGCTATCAAATTGCATTCCCACTAATTGCTGTTTAGCGCACTCGGCTATCGGATATCGCGTTGCCTTGGCTGCACAGCGCTAATTTCGCATCAATCATCGATGCATTGTTAATTCTAATAATTGCAAATAAACAAATTGCAACTGCCATGTTGTCGTTAAATTCGGCGCTTTCGGTTCGCCCCTGCGGCGCTTAATTGATTATTACAGATGATCGGATGTGCTTATAACACGGCCGCTTATAGCACACAACTCGATTTGACACGTATCGTGTTGTGTTTTTCAATGCAAACACAATTTGTCCACCGCTGATGATTAAAATAAAACGATTCGCTTTCGATTTGGTTAGAGACCCGAACACCGTTTTTTTTTTGGACCCCACTCTCCAAAACAGAAAGCAATCACAAAATCCCCGCCCACCCAACACGCCAGTTTAGCAAAATAGTTGGTAAATTTATTTGCCAAATAAACTGCACACAAAAGCCAATGGCAACGATGAGAGGCACTTGGCAGAGCTGAATTAAGCTGACCGTGGCAAAAACAAAGAGTAAACAACAAATTGAAAGGCATGAAATGAGAAAAAGGAAAATAAACGAGCAGGAAAAAAGTTGATCACAACAAAAAAAAAAAGAGCAGAACAAAAAATGCCTTCCACATGCAGGTGTATCCGTATGTGGTAACGTCAATTGTTTAAAAGTGAAAATTCGATTTTGTGGTAAGGCAAAAGGCATCGGGACACAAACAAATGGCGTGCCAAACCGAAAAGCAAAAACTTTTCTTTTTCAAATTTTTTTAGCTCCCTATTCCCCAGTGTTTTTTTTATATTTTTCTTGTTTTTCAATTTTTTTTTTGTGCTGCAAACAAATTTTTGGTGCCTCCCCTGTCGGTTTGTTTGAATTGTCCCTGGTTATTGTTGGCTGTTCCTCCTGACGCTTTGTGTCAGGCCGAGTCCTGTGTGCTGATGTGGCCAACAAAGCGAGAAGAGAAAAAAGATATATCCCGAAACGTACATATAAAACAAACGTGGTCGTCGAGCATAAAAAATGGCCGGCAGTAAGGAGAAGGAGAGTGTCCAAGAACCTGTGTCGTGAGCTGCATGAGAAACCGGAAAACCGGAAAGGAACGAGCGGAGACACCAGTCGTAGCGGAGGTTTTCCACCACTAACAAGAGACGTAACGATAACGAAAAACAAACTTTAAAAATTGGATTCTTCATTTGCATCGGCAAATCCAATCAAGCCAACGTAAAGACCCCGGCCAGACATATACACAACATAAAGCCGATGCACCACCGACTGAACCACTCCACCAGCCCCAGAACTCAGCCACCTGCAATTTGGAACCATACACGGGGAACAATAAACATTAATTGAGTTTTAATCATCCAATTTTACCTCTTCTAATGCGATGCCATTATTATTAGCATCAAATTACTGGATGTTCTTTGCTAAGGTAAATAAGTTTGGCATTTTAGGCAAGGAAGAAGAATAAGAATTCAATCCAAATTAAATTTCTGAGCCTAAATAATATTTGTAAATATTTTGTTTGAAATTATATTATTAAAAATATTTCCGTAATTTTTACACATTCTGCACTTTATTCTCTGAAAATCGTAAGCATATATTTCAATGTTTCAAAAATCCGATAATTTATTTGGGAGTTATTTTAAATAATATTTCTTTATATTTTGTTTGATATTATGTACTTACATTTATTGCATTTTTGAACCAAAACTGAAAATCTAAATGAGGTTTATTCTTAAAAATTCCTCTATGTGTACCCGCTCCCATATGAACATGCCCCACGTTACGTATACGCCACCATCCCCAGAAAAGAACAAAACGAGAGGAGGAGAGCGGACACGAACAATAAATGAAAGGTGTGCGCCTCCTGTTTGTCCATATAGTTGACCATTGCTTATGGCCTGCCACCGACCACGCCCCCCTTGCCACCCACCCCCCGGAATCCGGCTGAAAATTGGTAACGATTTGTATTGGACTATGGCCAAGCATAAAAGAGGCTGAGTCCGAGTCTGTTTGGCCATTGTGAGTGGACGTGGCTGATCGGATGTGTGTGTGTGTGTCTGAATCGAGTGCCGAATCTTGTTTAAAAGTTTTGTCCTTTTGCAGTCCTCCTGGCCTGCTGGCTGGCTTGCCGTTGCCCCCAATTCCGCTTGCCGAAAGGAGGGAAAATTTTCTTATTTGTATGCCCGGCTCACCTGCCGTTATCCATCTGTCTTGTATCTTCATCAAGTTGGCCAGTATTAAGTCGCTTGTTGGCCGACCGGCCTCCTCTGTCGCTCCTTTTGCATCATGTCCTTGCAACGTTGTGGTTTTTTCGTTGAGCTCTTAAAAAACCCATAGCATGCTGTTTTCTGGGGGAGGGGTTTATTGATTGCCAGGGCATACGTTTGCCATTTTATTACAAGCCAAAAAATAGAGCAGCAAAAAAAAAGAAAGGAAAATGCATCGAAACGCCTCACTTTTGTTCTCTGCTGCGCTTTTCATTTTTTTTTTGGTCCACCCCTCGTTTTCTGGCCTCGTTAATTGCCTCAAAGCCAAACATTTGCGTCAGTGGCAACCGCATTCGACGTCGTGACAATGACAACGGCAACCGCCGCTTAAATTGCCCAAAACCGCGACAAGTGGCCGTGTCCAGCGATTTACCCCCACCTCCCCTTCATCGGCCATCGCCCCACTTCATTGGGCTTGGAGCCACCCTTCCCGGATTTTCTTCACCACGGCCACGG